GGGTTTAAGGGTTCAGTGGTTTAGGGGTTTAGGGTTTAGGGGTTTAGGGGTTTAGGGGTTTTGCGGGTTTAGGGGTTTAGGGGTTTAGGGTTTAGAGGTTTAAGGGTTTAGAGGTTTAGGGGTTTAGAGGTTTGGGGGTTTAGGGGTTTAGGGGTTTGGGGGTTTAGGGGTTTAGGGGTTTAGGGGTTTAGGGGTTTAGGGGTTTAGGGGTGTAGGGGTCTAAGGCTTTAGGGTTTAGGGTTTAGGGTAGTAGTTTGCAGTAATAGTAGGAGAAATAGGAGTAATAGTAGTCATAGTAGGAGAGATTCAGAGTTGACGTTTGCCTTGCGGCCCCTGAGTGGTAGTAGTATTTTGGTAGTACTGGTGGTCGTAATGACTATAGTTGTGGTAATAAGAATAGGAAGAGAGTCATAGTAACGGGGATTCAGGGTTTCCTTGCTTTGAGGCGAACCAAAGGGGCTCACGGCTGGGGGTTTGTGGTTGGGGGTTTGGGGGAAGTATAGGGTTCCATGTACCCTAAACCCTAAACCGGGTTCCATAATGGACTCAGGGCCCTTGGAGTTCAGGGTTTCGTGTAGATTTGGGATTCGATCCTTGTGTAGAGACCAGGATGGGTTTGGTCTTTTTTTGGCTTTCTGAAGGGATCCTCTTTTTTTGATGGGTTTCGGGTTTAGGGTTTTTGAAGGGATGTGTGATGCTTGTTTTCATATTAACGGATGTTTAGCGCCCTGCACAAGCCATTAGTTGAAACTACCACATTCCTTTCCTCCGGAGCTCAGGCAGCAAAACCTCGACAAGCTGGACGAGGCCGATCTACGAACCCCACATCCTAGAACCACTAACTCCAAAAGCCCCAAACCCTCAAAGGTTATATCGTAAAGCCCGGGCATCGCTAAAGCGCTAGAGCAGCAAGTCTAAACCCTAGACCCCAAAACCCCAAGCTTAAGCCCTGAAAGTCTACATCCTGAAACGCAGGACCCCTAAAAGCGTGAAACCCGAAAGGTTTGGAAGCTAAAACCCTAAACCCAAGGAAGAGAACCTGCCTGGGTAATTAGTTGAGTTTGGGGCCCTTTCGGGTTTGGGGTTTCGGTGTTTAGGGGTTTAGAGTTTGGGCTTTAGGGGCTTAGGCCTTCGGATCTAGTTGGCGGTTTGAGGTCTTATGGATGGTGACGTCGCTGATCCGAGAAAGCCTTCCCAGCCCGGATGCCACCTGAACTCTTCCGATAACACATATATAATATACGCAATGTCGCGTCAACACACCAATACACTTCTCATATACTGATACTACCCAGAGACTGCAAGATCCCTTAATTATTAAGGAATATACCTTACATCATATTAGGGATCCTACTACAATTTAAGGTATATTCCTTAATTGGAGTCTCTGGGTACAGCAGCAGCAGCATAGCCCCGAACCAGGCCCCTGTATCAGGCGTTCTGGCGCGTCTCCACTCCCAGCTCTGCCGAGTACGGCCAGCACTGGAGCAACGAGGCATTGCTTTAGGGCTTCTGGGTTTAGGGGTTAGGGTGTATGCTTTGGCGGCTTAGAATAGGGTTTAGGAGCTTAGGGGTTGGTTCTTAAGGGCTTCGGGTTTCGAGGAACCGCGTTGTTGGGCTTCAGAGCCTTTTCCTGGAGGGGTTTCTGGCATTCCTCTTCAGGATCCATGAAAGCCAAAACCAAGACCTTTTCGTCGCATCCTAAGCCCAAAACCCCAAAAACCGAAAATCCACTTAGGCCTACAGAGAAGGTTCGGTTTCTGGGGTCTGGGGTCTAGGATTCTCTGTCCAGAGGTTTGTTGGGTCTCGGGTTTTGGGATTTTGCCTTCGGCGCTTTTGGCCCCGTGAGCCCGAAGCCGACGTCAGTCCTCAAGCATTCGCAGGCCGTGCACAGGCTGACGGCGCCGAGGCAGTGCAGCTTTCGAGAAATGGCTTAATGTACGGGCCTAAATGATTACCTATACTATTTTGGGGGCTCCTTATTATAACTAGGTTCCCCAGTAGTACCCTTTTGCCCTTTTTCTTTTTGGGTTCCCGTATTAAAGCCAAACAGTAGGAAAAAGGGTACCCTTATTATTAAGGGGCTACTGGGGAACCTAGATAATTATGGTATAATGGGCCCCAGAACCCTATTCTAATTATTAAGGCCCCTACATTAGGGTTTAGGGACCATTGCCACGAGGCACCCAGTTGCCAGTGCCGCAACCAGTATCCGCCAGCTTGGTGATACGAACGATCGTGGTAGCAGGCAGAGCAGCGCAGGTGGTGATGATGATGATGATGATGACGATGGTGATATCATGATTATTTCATGAAGCGATCATACTCCAAACCTTTACTACCAAGGTTCTACTTGTCAGAACGATTCGCAACATCATGAATCTTCTGATCGTCTTGACTGTCATCAAGCTTGGGTTCATTCCTCTTCCAGCGCCACAGAGAAGCTTCTGAGAAGATCCCTTAAGGACGTGGTCTGCGGATTTACGCCCTGCGCCCCAAACCGCTCCAATCCTGCCAGACGAGAATCCTGAAAGATCCTGCACCCCGCCCAGAGGGGCGCCCCGGTTTAGGGTTTCATATAGGGGCCTAAATTCTTAAATAAGTACCAATACTATTTGGGGGGCTCCTTATTCTAGTTATAGCATAATGTACCCCCAAACCCTATTCTAACAATTAAGGCCCCTGTATAAGGGTTTAGGGCCTAAACCCTAAACCCTAAACCCTAAACCCTAAACCCTAAACCCTAAACCCTAAACCCTAAACCTAAGCCCACCAGGCCGGAGCACACTGCAGCGGTCCGCGGCTTCCTGCGCCGTTTCGGCGCGGAGGCCTCGCCGGCGACGCCCAACGGTGGCCTGGCGGGGGATGTCCTGAGGGCTCTTGGGGCTCATACAGTAGCTTTTGTAAAGGCTTAGGGTTAAGGGTTTAGGGGTTCAGGGTTTAGGGTTTAGTCGGGGTTTAGGATTTAGGCTTCAGGGTTCAGGGTTTCTATAACAGAGAGGCCTAGATAAGTGTCAAGGTATTCTCTCCCGGGGCTCGCTGGCTTTTTTTATATGTTACAATGTATAGTGTATACCTTAACCCACCAGAACCTACATTTTTGTAGGGTCCCCATAAATCCCATATCAGGGTTTATAATAATAACCTACAAAAAAGTGGGTTTTGGTAGGTTAAGGTATATGGACCGAAACCTTGAGCCTTCCTACCTTCACCCTCCACTGACAAACCATGAGCTCAAGCCCCAAACGCGAGGACCCTAACACCCGGAGCAGTCTTCACCCTAAGCCTTCGACCCGAAACCCTAAGCCGAAAACCCGAAGCCCTGAACCCTTCTCCGGCCTGCCTCTCTTAAACTCTTCGTGTGGAATGCTCCCGCCGTTTCCTTTTCCTGGTGATCGAAATTGTGATGCTCCGGAGCTTGTACGTATTATTCAGTTGACGCCTCACAGAAGAAGCTGCTTCAGACTAGATACTGAAAGCACTTTTAGCTATTTGCAACGAGTTGCATCGCACCTTCACCTTTGAACCCTAAACGGTTCACCCAGCTCGCACGAGCCCCAAACCTCCCGACCCTTCAAAACAAGCCTAAATCCGCCGAAACAAACAAGACCCCAACAGCCATAAACCTCCGCATTCTAATCATTAGAGCTCCTACATTAGCTGGCAACCTGTTCCCGAAGACTTTCTCACAGAGGTGACTTCCTTGTGACCACTGTGACTGTGGAGGTGGCGCAGAAGTTCGGGACCCAGCAGGGGGGCGGGGGGTGGAGGTGATGTGGGGTTTATGAAAGATTTGTCTGGTGTGTCATAGGCACTACATGGTCAGATACGGCGCTTTTCCGCTACGAGTGTGGCAACATGTGGTAACACCTTTATGGGTTTTCCAGCGACCCCAAGATCCCTTAATCAAGGAATATACCTTAAATCATATTGGGGATCCTACTATAATTCAACCCTAAACCCTAAACCCTAAACCCTGAACCCAAAGGATATTCCTTAATTAAGGGATATTGGAGTCTCTGGGTTTCTTACATTGAGATTGAGTGCAAGAAGCCCCTAGGACTTCCAGAGAAAGCCTCGGGTAAGGCCCTACAAAGCATCATAGGGTTTAGGGTTTAGGGTTCAGGGTTTAGGGTTTAGGGTTCAGGGTTCAGGGTTCGGGGTTTGGGGTTCAGGGTTCAGGGTTTGGGGTTTGGGGTTTAGGGTTTAAGGTTTTTAAACCCCCAAAAAAGGCCCCCACATGGAGCCGACCAAGGATGCTCAATGCCAGCTACGTGCGCCTTGCACATGGCTCCGGGCAGACGCTGCTTCGTGCGCCTGAGGGCTACGAGCTGCCACCGGAGGCGCAAGAGGGTTTAGGGTTTAGGGTTTGGGGTGTAAAACAGGGCAGGGAAAAATCATCAAAACGATCCCCCTTTGAGTCCCTATATAAGTATGCTGTAGCGTCCCCCAAATAATCACCAATAGTATCCCTTTGTAGTCCCTATGTAACATATGTAAGTACAGTATGCTACAACGTGCCCCCAAATCTGAAGATCAGGTCGCGGATGCTGTTGATTTCGTCGCACCGACAGTTCATGTGCCAGGCACGCAAGGGTTCAGAGTTTTGTAGGGTTTGCGGTTTAGAGTTCAGGGGGACTAGGAGTTTAAAGAGCCTTGGTTTTTGCCAAAGTTCCTTGACCTGCGACCCCTAACCTAAACCCACCCTAGACCCTAAACCCTAAACCCCTAAACCCTAAACCCCTAAACCCTAAACCCTAAACCCTAGACCCCTAAAACCTAAACCCTAAACCCTGAACCCTAAACTCCAAACCAAAACCCCGGAACCCCGGAACCCTAAGTCCCAAATCCTAAGCCTTATAAGACACCCAGGCCGTAAACCCCAAATCCAAAAGCACCCAAAGCCCCAAAGCCCCCAAACCTGTAACCAATAAATCCACAGGAAGCCCTTATGACCCCCAAACCTCTTGTGACGCCATAGAAAGCCCTTAAACCTAGACCCTAAGCGCAACACCCCTGCATCCCGGTAGAACCCATACAAACAAATCCTATAAACTACCCCTTTGTACGGCAGGGTCCAGATCCTCCCGGTGGTCTGGGTCTGAAACATAGCCCCGATCTTGTATTGAACTAGATTCATCAACCTTCAGTATACTCTATTCTATTCTGTTATCTTCTGTTGTATTCTATTATATTATAGTCTCTTCTCTTCTCTTCTCTTCTCGTCTCGTCTCTTCTCTTCTCTTCTCTTCTCTTCTCTTCTCTTCCATTCTCTTCTCTTCCATTCCATAAGCCCTTCCGAAGCATGGGAACCACTTTTTGCAGCTCCAGGTCTCGGAAAGTTCTCAAAAAAGTGGGGGTAGCATCAAGGATCTCTAAGATGGGGCTTGCAGGGTTTATCTTTGGGGGTTTAAGGCTTTTAGGGGTTCAGGAGTTTAAGGGCTTTGGGTTTAGGGGTTTTCCCACCTATCTTCATCCCACCTTGCGATCCTCTAAACCCTAATCGCCCTAGTCCGTAACCCTACCCAAGCCCTGAACCCTAAACCCTAAAAACCAAAACCCTACAAACTAAACCCCTAAACCCCTAAACCCCTAAACCCTAAACCCCCAAAACCCTAAACGCTAAACCCTAAATTCCTAAACCCTAAATTCCTGAAGGAAAAATCCGCAGCCGGACATGCAGAATCCTTATGGAATCTTAAAGAACCCTGACAGACCCCTCTAAAATCCCCAGCCATCCCAAACTGCCAGGCATCCGCCGGCCACCCTCTGAGGATGCCAAGCCAGATCCGGAGCTCTTCGACACGAACTCGCCGAAGAACCTCAGGAGCCTCACCGAAATTCCTGTGTTGCTCTATGGCGGTTTTTTCTTTGGGGAGAGGGGGGAGGGGGGGGAGGGGTCGCATTTTTTGGCCGTATCGGGTTCTTCTTTGTTTGGTGCGTGTTTTTCCGTTTTTGAGGGGGCTCTTGTGAGTCCTAGTTTAGGAAGGGGTTTGCTATGATTTAGTCTTTTCTTAACAAAAGGTTCTTGACACATAGTAGTCAATGTAGAGGTTCATTTTTTAAAGCATGAGGCCGGGCATGTAGGTATGTTTCCGTTGCCTGTTGTTCTCATTTTTTTCTGAAAAACTTCTTTGTGTGTGTGTGTGTTTGTTTGCTTAGACGGTTTTTGGTAGTTTGCAGAATCGCAGTTCTTATGGGTTGTTTAAGGCTTCCGATATGATTTTTTCAGGCTCTAGAAATGGAAATAGCTCTCGGCAGGTGTTGCTTGCTTAAGAGTTTCGAGGCTAGGGTTTAGGGTTTGAAGGTTTTTGTAGCTTGTGGGGATACAGGGTTTAGGATGGGTTTCCCGCCGCTTAGCATGGAAAGATGCCTCGTCCCCATAAACGTATCCCGAAGCCCAAGTCCACTTATACATGCCTTCAGGGTACCCCGGTGCTGGCGTCTTGTAGCACCAATTGAGATCCAATTGCTCATGCAGCCCTGATCCTGTGCATGTGTTCGAGGAGTCTGTACAACGTCGGCGATGCTGAGGGCAAGGTGCCTGGTTAAGAGCCAAGCCCCCTAAACCCTAAACCCTAAACCCTAAACCCTAAACACCTGGCACCCTTTACAACCTGCTGATCGATGTGCTGGCAACTTGCAAGACGAGTGCCCTTTCGTAAAGGGTGCGTGGCCAACGTCTTCCCAGATCTTTAAAGATCCCTCGACGCCTCTAGGCATCTTTATTCTTCTAGATGAGTTAGCTTTTTGTAGTTTTCAGGAGCAAGGTCCCTTCGTCCCGAAATCCCAAGGCCCTGAGCCCGAATCCCTAAACCCTATACCCCAAGCCCTGAACCCTAAACTCTACACCCGAAAAGAGTGAGTCTCATACCCTGAACTCCTTAACTCCTTAACCATCGAGTTTGTGGGAGTCTCTGGCTCAGAGGACCCTGAGATGTGTGGAACAGTCTTCCAAAAACGGGTTCAGGGTTTAGGGTTTAGGGGCGATGAACCGGGTCTCTCAGTGCGCACCCCTAAACCCTAAACCCTAAACCCTAAACCCTTTTTCCTTTGTTGAAGTCTTTGGTTCCTTGTAAAAGGTCCCCAATACCATAAAGGGACGTTCTTAGTCCTGGGTTCCTGGGCATCGATATGGCAAACCATGCTGCCAAACCCTAGGCTTCCTTACGGCCCAACATACGTAAGCGGGGTGCATGAGTTGAACATGGACATGGTCTATGCTAACTGAATATAGGGGCCTCAATAATTACCTATACTTTTTGGAGCTCCTTATTGTAAATATAGTATAATATACCCCCCAAAGCCCCACTCTATTTATTAAGGTCCCTATATTAGATGATACCACCCCAAACCTTAAGGGGTGTAGGGCTTAGGGTTTAGGGTTTAGGGCCATTGAAGTTGCCAGGCCCCCACGAATCGTATGGCCGTCACGGCCTTCCTGGAACAAGGCAGCTGAGTTGGTATTCAGGCTAGGGTTATCGCCAGTAAAGGTTTGTAATCATCAGTTTCAACAACCAGAAAGGCCCTTATGGAAGCCGGAAAACTTGAAGCACCACTTGAGTTCAGGATTTAGAGAGTACAGTGCGCGTTTCAGAAACACGCCCCTAAGCCCATATCCTACACACAAAGACCGGCGCGTTCCTTCTGGGGGCGCTAAACCCAGAAAGTTCACGGCAAAGCCTGAATCCTACACTCTAGAGACCTAAGCCGTAAAGCCCTGCAACTTAAAGCGTCTAGAGCCCGGAGTTTTAAACTACAAAGCCATACACTCCTGAGCCCCTACTTTGGGATACTCCCTAAACCCTAAACCCTAAACCCTAAACCCTAAACCGCTCAATTTCCCTCATGGCCCGGTTGAGGTGGCTTCTGAAGCCGAGGCTCTGAACATCAAGGCCCCCTGAACCCCAAACCGTAACGCAACCCAGAAGAGCAAAGCAGGAAGGGTTGTTGGGTGGCAGGGTTTCGGGTCTAGCTGTCTTGGGGTTTAAGAGCTTTTGTTTGGGGTTTCGGTGTTATTGTTGTTAAATTGTGGGCTGAGGGTTGTTTGGGTTCGGGGTTCAGGGCTTAGCCCAACGCCGCAAACGAAGACTGTATACTAGGTCCTAAATGATATGGCTTCTGTGAGGAGTTCTACAGTGCTACAAAGCCTTGAGCGGCTTCTGTTGTAAGGAGCATCCCTTAAACTACTAAAACCGTAAACCCTTTCAACTTGTAAGAATCAGAACCCAGTTGCCGAGCCCTGCAAGGCTTGCTTTTGAGTCTCGTCTCGAGCCTTATGGGGTCTGTCGACAGCTGTTGCTGTGGGAGTCTTAAGCGGGAGGAAGGCTCATGAACTCAGGGTTCCCGAGCGTGTAATCTAGGGGCCTAAATTTTTAAATTACCTATACTATTCTGAGGCTTCCTTACTAGAATTCTAGTATAATGGGCCCCAAAACTCTATCAATAATATTATACTATTTTGGCTTCCTTACTAGAATTCTAGTATAATGGGCCCCAGAACCCTATTAATAATATTTAGGCCCCTATATGGGTGGTTGTCAAAATGATGGTCCCTTTTTGGGGTCCTTATTATAATACGGCACCTATTATTTAGGGTACCCCAAAAGGGACCAGAATTTTGACAACCACCCTATTTGAAGGCTTAAGGGCTTGCCCTGTGGGCCCCAATGCGGTGGGAGGTTACAGCGAGCACTCGCTGGAGGCCTTCTGGAAGATGATGTGTGGAGGTCCGCCGCGGTTGGCCTCGGGTTCAAGGCCTTAGAGCAATCAGTCTTTAGGGGTCTACAGGGTTTAGGCTTCAGCGTTCTTATCTTCCGAAAGACCGGCATGCTTCCTGAGCTTTTGCGTCCAGAATCCTACTTTTCCAGAGAAAGTGCCGTAAATCGAGATGTTTCTGAATCAGAATACGGATCCCGTAGATTCCTTCATTCGGGTCCCGGGAATGGGGTCCGCATTGCAAGCCACACCGCAAGCCTGAAACCAGGTACGATCTAAAACTCTACCTGGACCCCAAGAGTATGCATAATCACAGCCTGTTCTAGTACTTTACCAACTCTTTGCGTTTTTTTCCTTTGGTTGGGGGGGGGGGGGTTGGGTAACGTAAACTCCAAACCGTAAACCCTGACTTGCGTCTTATAGGGTTCTTTGATAGGGCCTCAGACATCCGACCCAGGGTCTTGGAGTGCTTTCCAGCAGAAGTATATTTAAAAAGAATCCTCAAGAATGGGGGTTTAGGGGTTTAGGGGTT